GTCCATGAGAGTAGGTGTCAGTGGTGACCTGCATTTATGAAATGATGAGCATACGTTGTCTCACCCTTTTCAGAAGAACCTGCCTCACAGGAGCACAGCCAAGACCAAGAAATGCTGAAAGGGGGACTCTGGTTTTACGAAATCCCTCATTTTCCAGGCTTCTTCACAGGCTGACAGAACTCCAGGTACAATGTCCTGAGAACAGTCTAGGAAATATCACTATGGCTTCAGGGTCAGAGCAGCCACCCTCTGTCACAGACAGAACGTGGGCATGTAAGGAAGCCCAGGTGCCCACACTGATGGGCCCAGCACCAACGACGCCTCCCAGCTCTCCAGCTTGGAATGGCCAGTGTCTGCCTGAGCCCTCCACAAGAGTGGCCCACGGGGGCCTGGACAGAGTGTATGGCTCACACTACCCATGAGGACACAGGCGCAGAGGGCAGCCTGCGGGGGTCACCCAGTGAGGACCGGGCGGCTGACTGCAGAGCTGACATTTACCATTTCTGAAGTCACCTCCTGCTGCAGAAATTGCCCACCCCAGCGATGTCACCACAGTGAGAGTTTGTGTGTGAAATCTGGTGTAGTTCTTTCCTAATTTTGTTTTGCAGTCATGATTAGACATCTTAAAATAGAGGAAGGAAATAAAGGATGAAATCCAGTTCAAAATATCGTTCTCTTGAGCCTTCTTTCAGCCTCGTTTACAAGTAAGACTTGCATGGAAATTATAACTGCTGGAGAGTTGACGTAAATGACTCCATCTACTGGTCCCCACACATTCTCTTCAAGAAGCAATCTCCGATCATCCTGTGGTGGCACCCTCAGTGCTGACCACACCAGCAGGGAGTGGGCAGGAAGCCACCTGCCCAGCAACCTAAGTGCTGACCACACCAGCAGGGAGTAGGCAGAAGACCGCCTACTCAGCACCCTCAGTGCTGACCACACCAATGGGGAGTGGGCAGGAGGCCACCTGCCCAGCACCCTCAGTGCTGACCACACCAACAGGGAGTAGGCAGGAGGCCACCTGCCCAGCACCCTCAGTGCTGACCACATCACTGGGGAGTGGGCAGGAGGCCGCCTACTCAGCACCCTCAGTGCTGACTACACCACTGGGGAGTGGGCAGGAGTTGGCCCACAGGGAAGCAGGTTCTCTGTGGCAGGAGCCAAGTGCTGTGGCCTTTCCACATTAGGAGGTGTCTGCAGCTGCATCTCAGGGAAACGTCTGTGAAGGGGGCTGATCTTCTGGTCTAAACTCTGCCCTCTGTCACAGCCATCTGGGTTCTGCCCACATCCCAGAAGGCTTTTGGTAGCCAGACCTATAAAGGGCTGAGGCCACGGAGGTGACAGCTGGCCAGGCCCTCCCTCAGCACAGCAGCTGTGGGACACGTGGCCTGAGTGCCAGGGTCTGGCTCCCTGAAGACCTGACTCAGCACAGGATGCTCTGGGGGAGCCACAAAGCTCAACTGAGGGTCAGGGCCCTGTTGGTCTCAACGAGGCGGGGGGGGGCACTCGGGAAGACGGGAATGCCACAATTTTACACAAATGATAAGAACTATGGGTACGAGAGGATGTTAGGAGCACAAGCTGTTCTCATAACAATCCCTGGAAACTTCAGTCTAAAGGCTACCATCCCCCTCAAAGTCCTGCTGGACGACAGAGTGATGTTCCAGAGGGGGACGGAGCTGAGAAATCCCCAGCCCTATGTGGGAGGCTCAGCCCAGCAGAAAGCCCTGCTCTCGGAATGAGGATGTTCAAATCATTCTCATGAAGAGGGATGGGAAATAAAGAGAGGTGAGATCAGGCTGCAGTAGGATAAAGTGAATTCACAAAGCCAGAAAGCCTGGATCTCCCTGGAGGGCAGCATCTGAGTGTCCAGATGGATCCTCAGAACTTGGCGTCCAGGACCCGGAGCTGACCCTACTGTGGGAACGTGCACAGATAGGCCAGTGCCGCACAGCTGAGAGGCAGACTACTGCCAGGCTGGGTGGCTCGGCGGGGCATCCAGGCCGCAGCATTTGCAGACACAGGCAGAAGCAGGGCTGATAGGAATCAGCACACTTGCATTTTAATTGAGCTCGGATTTATGAGGACAGTTGCTGCCCGGGAGAACTTGCCTAAAAGCTCAGTGTCTGCTGACCCTAATGTTTTCACTGGCCAGCCTCCGCAGCAGACGTGCAGAGGCCCCACTCACACCAAGTTCACAGCGCACCATCTACCTGTCTTGTCAGGGAGCTGCATGGCCTGTGAATGACTGGGCAGCTGTGCACGGTCTGCTCACTGCATGCTAGTAAATCTGTGAGCACCAGAGGCTCCGTGTGGGAGCGGTTTGTGTTAGCATGTGAACCTGGATTTAATCTAGCAAAGGACTTCCTGCAGATGGAAGAGGCACCTCCTGGCAGGTGGGAGAGCCCTGGCCTGTCTGTCAACGCCTGGCACAGGGGCGAGGGAAGGATGCTTGTCCTCAAAGTCCCCAAAGTGAAGACACCGGGACTTTGGTCAGCAGAGATCTCTGGACACTGGGGCAGCTCTCAATGACTCTCCTGGGAAGACTCTGAGGCCTGGACCAGGGCTCAGCAGCCTCCAGTGTCTGCAGCTGACCCAGGTCTGGGTGTAGGAGAGGAGCCCCATGGTTCTCAGGCCAGGACTGCCATCAGCTCCCCATCGCACAGGTGCCGTCCACACCAAGGGATATCCACGCACGATGCCTCAGGACCCCTCACTTTACCATGGAGTTTGACACTGTTGTGACCTTTGGTCTCCAATAGTTGAGGAAGGACGACTAAGGGCAGAGGGAGGTGCAGGAGGGAACCCTGGCACCAAAGCCAAGAAGGTAGAGAAGGGAAATTTAACAAAAAACAAAGACACCGAAATAAAAAGTGGTTGAGTATCTGTGCCTGTTTCCCAAGGGAGAACATGGAAGGAAGGCCTTTCAAGGCATGCCCAGCTCCCAGAGCCGGGGCTGCCCCATGCTGGTCCTGTGCAGTGGCCACAGCCTCTCTGCCATCAGGAACAGAGGGGAGGCACGAGAGATGCAGGGAGAACACAATGTGATGAAGTTGAATTGTTTGGGCAAAACGTCATGTTGAGATTTAAGGGACTCTTAAACCAACCCCTGGTTCCCCCATGGACCAGCTTTCCTCTGGAAACCAGGGACAACTGATGGACCCAGGGCACCTACAGGAGGCTCCCTGGTGGACAGACGCCCTCTGAAAGGAGGACGTCCTCCCCCGTCTCAGCCTTGGCATACATACTCTGAGATCATCACATTCTCTGCCGCTCTACACCCCCCAAGTGTGGCTAAGAAACAAGGGTTTGTTACCCCAAGGTGAGGAAAAGGTGGGATTCAAAGTTGAAAGGGCCACGGTGGGTCATGTGACCACCATCTCCTATTCTTCTGTTGGGCAGGGCAGGATTCAGCCCACCCTTTAACTGGGGTCTTCAACACAGGGAAGCATGTGGATTAACGCAGGCCAGGGATGGGCGTGTCCTGGGGATGCCCCTGAGGTGTCCACCCTCCACGTTCTGACACCACCCACCCTTGGGGATGGTAGAAGACGTTAGTGGGAATAAAATCATGGGGCCATAAGCAGACGCTCCTTCTCGTCACAACAAACACAGAAGACAGAACCTGAGTGAGCTCTGCAGGTGTCCAGGGACGCCCCCGTCCCGTGCCCCTGTGTTTCTATCCAGAGTGTGGGGAAAATCTGATCAGCCTGAAGAAGAAAGCAGGTGGGACCCAGTTTGCTGATGTTCAGGGCTGAAGACTCCTGCCGCCCTGCCCTCACCTCCCTGTCCCCTATTACACGTTATTTCCAAGGGTTTTTATTAATTTCCTAGGTCTCCTTACATCAGAATCGAGTTATACCCTGAATTCCCTGCACAGTGGCCACCACCCTGGACAGCTCACCGTGAGACCTGGACTCCGAAGCATCTGCTTTCCCGCCCCCTCCACTAACACACACAGGAGCCGGCTGGTCCCACTGGGTCCCCGCGTAGTCACAGCTCCCGAGCATCCGGGGACCCAGCCAGCACGACCGGCTGCTTCCTCCCCAGTACAGCACCACTTTGCCAGTCACAGCCACAGTGTTGACAGCAGCGATCAGGTGCTGAGTCCTTAGTGTGCCCCCAGTAGTCCATGCAGGGCAGAAGCCTCGATCCCTACAGTACCCCTGAGGGGTTTGCACAGCCTCAGCACTACTGACAATCGAGGGAGATAATTCTCTGTTGGAGTGGGGGGGGAGTCCTGTGCCTTAGAGGTGCTGAGAGGCACCCCTGACCCCCACCTGCTAGATGCCAGTAGCACTTCTGACCCCACCTCCAGCCGTGACAACTGCATTTCAAATGTCCCTGTGATGGAGGGAAGCATTGCCCCCCCCCCCCCGCTGAAACTCAGGCCTATAAAATAGCTGTTTCCTGATTTATTTAGATGCAGAGCCTGATGAGACTGGTAGATGTGCTGCTGCATCAGCACAGCTGGTGCAACGTGCTAGGACTCAGCCCCTCCCACGGCAGCAGACAGGGCGGGTGCCTCCTGTCACAGCCTGTCCCGGCGTCCCCTCCTGACTCTGCCTGACTCTGCGGCAAGCTAATGCCAGTCCTGCAGCTCACACACAGCCTCTGTTTACCTTCTGTCTCTGAGGAGTTCTGAGTTAGGGCTCTATTCAGGGTGCTACACAGATCAGGGTTCAGACCATCTTGTGAGTTAGGTCCTGGTTAGTAACCACATTCTACAGAGGCTTCAAATCCTCACTAAGCCATAGAGTGAGAATTCCCAGCCAGGAGGGGGTGCAAGCAGTTCCTTCACGTTGCCATGGAAACCTGAGCTTCCAGAAGCTGAAGTGTTCCAAGGAACCAGAATAGCTTGGTTTGCAGAAAGGCTGCCTGGTTCAGGCCTGTGCTCTGTCCACAGGGAAAAGGGGGTGTGAATGTACCACATTTTTCCTGGTAATTGGGTTAGTTTTGGCCTTAAGAAGAAAGCAGACAAATAGATCCATGGTACACACCGCTCTGACGTAGCTTGCTGGTCACGCCACCACTGAGAGCCACCGTGCCCGTCACCGCCTTCTCACCGGCACTAGCCTCCTCCTCGCTGCCCCTGGGGAGGGTGATGATTGTACCTCCGCCGCCGCTGAGTGCCTGCCCCACCTTTATAGAAACAGAAAATTTCCAAGATGAAAAGCCGTCAGTATTTAAAGCATGATCACTGCGGCTTCATTATTTCTTTTCCCATTCAAATCGTTGTGTGGCTGTTGCCTGAACGGCGCTGTTGGCAACAATTGTTATGTTTTTGTAAAAAAAAAAAAAATTCACTAAATTGATCCATTGCAAATCCTCATCCCTGAATTTGGCTATAAATAGTAAATAAGAGTTATGATTTGTTTTCAAAAGTTCGTGCTGGGCATTCACCATCAGGCTGGATCACTGAGCAAAAGTTACCCCAATACACCCCCCCTCTCCATCCTGTTCTTTTGATCCACACACTGTTCTACTCTGTTCCAAAGATTTAGTTTTTTCAATTAACAGAAGATACGTAATTCCCTATGCATAAGGCTACACTAGGAATACAGAAAAGAATGGCATTGTCTTTAAATTCAAAGTATTACTCAAGTAAAGATTAGCAAAAGGAAAAAAACTGACAGAAATTATCTCACGATCTGGAGAGTTAATATAAATGCATTAAAACATTTAAAAGGCAGGCAGCACCTATGTATGGCTCAGTGAGTAGGGCACCATCTCCGTATACTGAGGGTGGCAGGTTCAAACCTGGCCTTGGCCAAACTGCAGCAAAAAAATAGCTGGGCATTGTAGTGGGTGCCTGTAGTCCCAGCTACTTGGGAGGCTGAGGCAAAAGAATCACCTAAGCCCAAGAGCTGGAGGTTGCTGTGAGCTGTGAGCTGTGATGACACAGCACGCTACCAAGGGCAACAAAGTAAGACTCTGTCTCTAAAAAAACCCAAACAAAAAAATTCTAAAAGGCAAAAATGTGGTTTTTGTTCATTATATCATACTGTTACACTTAACCGTAGCTCGTAAATACAGGAGTTAATGCAACTAAGAAAATGCGCAGGAGCACTGGTGCTCAGCTCTGACAACACCCTCTGTGTCCAGCAGACAGAGCGTTCTAGCGCGCCACCTGCTGGCCACGCAGCGGCCCTCCCAGGCCAGCTGGGTCGGTGCAGCCCAGCGTTAGAGGATGAATTCTTGACCAACAATAAAAACTTCAACATGGTTTAAAGAACCACTCGCCTCTCAGAGTGAAAAAGCACTACTAATTTTTTAAACATTCCACATAAAAAAAATCATAAAATCAGCTATAATGCTTGAACTTTATATTATAAAAAAGAGACAAATAAGCAGAGAATTTTAGTATGTCCAACACAAAACACAGGAGAAACAGAGTGAAGACGAGAGAGGAGAGGTGCAAGATCTGGGGGAATGTGGAGTGAGGTGGGGTGCCCGGGACACGTGGCCAACAGGACGATTTTCACTGCAGGAGGAAGGGAGGTGCCCAGGAGGGCTACATGCTGGGCTATCTATTTCTTGTGTCTAGTCCTAGGAGGCTTCCCCAAGGTGGAGCGATTGACTCATCCATCAACTTACTCCGCCAATAAAGGACCAAACTTGTGTCTCACAGACCTACTCACTGGGATGGTAAGATCAGGCATTTACATTATACAGGCTTCTCTTTCCCAGGGCAGACCTGCATGATCACTGCACTGAAGACAAGGGCAGTTAACTGAATTCAAGCCATCACTGCAAGTTTCTTGACCCGCATGCTTGGTCTGCTGGTGGGGGTGTAAATCCACCTTTACCTGGTCACAGCTGAAGCAAAGCAGGAATGAGGAGGAGCCTGATTTCTAAATGGGCTCAATGAGGACCACCTGCTAAGTCAAACAAGCAGCTGGACAGAGCTCCCAGGTGCCCATGCTACCAGAGGCAGTGAGTCCTCTCAGCCCTTCCTGGGTCCGTGACCACAGCCAGCACCTCAGACGCATCCTTCAAGCACTGAAGCCCCCTCCGGGTAAGACACAGGGGCTAGAGATACTTGAGGCTACAGTTATTAACCATGTTAAACCAACAAGCAAATTTCCCTCTCACAGAGTGTATTGCTTAATTTACTGGAAACAAACTTGCTAGAAACTTCTGGCCTACAGGAGTGCAGAGCACACAGGCAGGTCCGGACCTGGGCACCCCCAGCTGCCCACCTTGCCGTCTAGATGTTGGTTTTCTCCTGGCTTCTCCTCCTTTACTGTCTTAGTCCCCCTCAGGCCTGCTGCTATTCGTGAAGATGCTGCTTTGGCAGGAAGATTCTGCAGAAAGGATAGAACCAGTGCCTCATGTGGTCGCCATGAAAACTGCAACAGGAGGCTGAGAGAAGCAGGTGGCCAGGACAGCACAGTGCCCATCCCTGAGGCAGGGAGCAAAGCTGGCTCCAGGACAGGGACACACACTGTGCTCTGTGCAGGTGTTTCGTCCGGGCCAGGACAACTGTAGTGACGCCTCCCATTTTCAACACCTGATGGGAGTAACCCACCGAGGCCTCCCTGTTGCACTGTGCAAGGCAGGGCATCAGCCCTTGGGCTGTGAGGTGCACCCGAGTCCAACACCAGAGACAACCACTCACGGCCTCACCGATGACGTCAGAAAGGGTGAGCTAGAACGTGGGCTTTTCTGGGGAAAGCAGAAAATAGGTGGGACTTGTGCTTCCCATCCCTTACCTGATGGGAACATCATAAACAGACTTAAAGCCCAAATTTCCTCCCATGGAAGAAATTATATCATTTTGTTGACATTTCTTATTAATTATAGTATGAAACTGTTAGGTAGATCAGGTTCCAGCTCTTCTAGGGAAAAAAGACAAGGGTGAAATTCCCAGGGCCCCATCTTGGTGCTGCCCACATTAACCCTGTCCTGAGCAGCTGCTCACACCTGGGGAAGAGGGCAGACCCTGCCAATCCAGAAATCAGAAGCCAGCTGGCCACCACCTACTAAGGAACACAGAGGACTCTAGCCCATGGGCCAGGCAGCACAGGTCCACAGAATCTGCAGGGGACCTAGAACAGCCTGAAGCTAACTTCACTGCACTGCAGCTCTCAGAGAGGCTCGTGGGAGGTTCACATGCACAGTAAGACTCTGTGGTTCCCAGGTGACCTCTGAACCACAAGGTGGCCCCATCCAGGTGGTATAAAGCAGAATCCCCAACCATAAGCAAGGCCTTTGTCGAAATAGAGGGGAGGGGCCATTCTTCACCTAAGGCAGACGTATCTTGCTCTCTGAACCTATACCCTGCTCCTCCTCTGTGAACCCACCTTCCTCTTCCTCAACAAACTTTGTTTCACACTTTTCTGGCTTTGGGGGTGACCGGTCATTCTTCAGCCAAGAGGACACCCAGAACCAACCGAGAATGCAGGCAGCTGCCAGAAGCCCACATCATAAGTGGACCGCTAGGAGGGCTCACAAGTGTTTCACTGTTTTTTCCTTTGATTCTGTTCATTTGAAATGAGAATTATAAAGAAAAATAATATAATGAAACTCTAATTTGAGAAACTCTTAGGTCATGAAAAATATCAATCTGTTCTGACGATGTGCCAATTGCAATCGCCTTAACGCTACAAGAAAATGATATTTCTATTTGTTGGAAGAACTAAGAGCCCATTTAGAAACGTCTTAGTTTTCTGTTCTCATAAAGATGATGGAAGGACGCAGCCTCTATCTACCCCCCCCCGAGTCCCCCTGCCTGGGGCGGGACCCCCCCGAGTCCCCCTGCCCGGGGTGGGACCCCCCCTGAGTCCCTCTGCCTGGGGTGGGACCCCCCCGAGTCCCCCTGCCTGAGGTGGGACCCCCCCTGAGTCCCTCTGCCTGGGGTGGGACCTCGCCAAGTCCCCCTGCCTGGGGTGGGACCCCTCCGAGTCCCCCTGCCTGGGATGGGACCCCTCCGAGTCCCTCTGCCTGGGGTGGGACCCCCCCAAGTCCCCCTGCCTGGGGTGGGACCCCTCCAAGTCCCCCTGCCTGGGGTGGGTCCCCCCCGCCTGGGGGGTGTCCCCCCCAAGTCCCCCTGCCTGGGGTGGGACCTCACCAAGTCCCCCTGCCTGGGGTGGGACCCCCCAAGTCCCCCTGCCTGGGGTGGGACCCCTCCGAGTCCCCCTGCCTGGGGTGGG